GATGGAGGCAGGAGACTTGCTTGAGCCCAGGAGTTGGAGGTTGCTGTGAGCTGTGATGCCACAGCACTCTACCCAGGAGGACAGCTTGAGGCTCTGTCTCGAAAAAGAAAGGAGAAAGAAATACTAAGAATGTGAATGCTGAGATGTTAACAATGATCATCTCTACTCTAGGTAGTAGTTATTTACTTCTTTGTTGTTTCTTGTATTTACCTACAAGAAAGCAAATGTTGCTTTTATAGTTAGGAAAAAAATCATACTTTCTAAAAACAAATGGGTTTAGGATTTTAGGATGGTGGGTTTGCTTCTGAGATCACTCTGGGCCTTAGCTCTTCTTTGCCTACCGGTACCTCCACCACAAAACATTGGTTGACCAGGGGATAGGGACTCACTCACCTTTGGGGTTCTCCTTCCCCCAGCCTATCAGTCAGGACATAGCTGGTCTTCTCGCCCTCTTTGGTCAAACCCTGGCAGGGAAGGGGGGAGTGAGAGATGGGGCCTGAGAACTTTGGACAGTTCAGGTGAAGTGTGACCAAGAGAGGTTAAGCCTTTCTACCTGGTTCCCAGCTCTGGGTCCTCTCTCTGAAATAGGGCCAAGATTGACAAGTTGGGGACCCTGGTAGCAGGTACCCCACCTTCCATGACAACCAGCACCATGACCACCAAATAACAACTGTTTACTGGTGGAAAAGCCCATCATCTTTAAGGGCCATAGACAGAGGTCAGGAGGCGTGGATGTGGTTTCTGGTGGCCGCTGAACTCCTGAGTAAACATCTGAAGGGAAACTCCATAGTCAGGGACAGGTTTACCTCATTCCTTACTATATCCCCAGTGCTCAGAACAAGGTCTGGCCCAGAATGGACACCAAGTGACATGTGCTAAGCCAGAGAAAGGAAGGAGAGAATGGCTCTGCCTTCTTTTAGCAGGACAGTGAGAACGATGACAGCCCTAACCCCAGATTGAAGAGTCAGTCCAATTTGGAATGGAAGCTGTGTAAACCTGAGCAAGTGAAAAAATCTTGATATATCTCAGTTTCTTAAAATGTAGTGGGCATAAAGACCTACCACAAAGGATTGTAAGGATTTTAAACCTGATATGGTTGGATACGTAAGCAAGACACTTAACAGTGGTTACATATGGGGAATGGGATAGGGTAGTAGGGAGAGATTCATTACTTCAGGGAAAGAGTACTTAAAAGTTTTTACCTTCTACTATCTAGAACTTTTTGGAATTTATTCCCACAAGCATGTATTACATATAATAAAAATTAGTTTGTTGAAACTAAGGACTGATTACACAGGTGCCCAAGTGGCAACTTCCCCAGTACTGAAATCCTGATACCACCCTGCAGATAGCCACTCAGCTTTGGCTTCACCAGAGACCAGGACTGAATTGTGGTCATACCTGACCCTAGGGCAGGGCTCCTCACCTGGACAGGTTCCCCATCACGCCACACCAGACTTTCTCCATCACTTTCCCAGCAAAGGTGAACTTCCTGGCCCACCCATGCCTCTGGGATGGTCAGCTCCACCCGGAACCAGCAGGTCCACCATCTGCAAGAGAGCCCTTGTGATGGGCCTAGGGAGGGATACCATGTCCTGAAATACTTCCTTCAGCTAAGTGTCAGCAAAGCCTTGAGACTTTCTCCAAGAATCGGTAGCATCACAAGTTACTCAGAGTTGAGCCACAGGAAAGGAACAAGGGGAGCAGCAAGATGAGAAAAAGAGGCAGAGAAATCGTGGTCCAGGATCCAATTAGGGTGCCCTTTACAAAGGGTGTGCAGACGCAGAGATGGGGAGATAAAAACTCTCCCCTGAAGACTCTGAGGAACCAGGGAGCTGTTCCCAGCAGAGGGTGTTGCTCTGTCCCTTGCAGCTGTCTAGGGCAGGTAGCCGACAAAGAAGGTGTGGCCGAGGCTAGGTTAGGAGCAGGATGTGGGGTGTTGTCTCACCTTAGGCCCGCTGGCCCAGCCCTCCCATCGGGAGTCACTCACGTCGGTCCGAAGCTGTCGCCGATCTGCGCGGGGCTGAAGTTCTGCTGGATTGCCTCCTGGTAGGGAAGCCTCTCCGGCGTCAGGAAGCTGGAGAGCGCGGCCACGGGGCACGTTTCCCCAAAGAGCCTGCGCGGGAGGGTCCGGTGGGCGCGCGCTCGAGGCCGCCCCTTTTCTGTCCGTGGGCCAGCCGGCCGGTCGGGAGAGGGTTGTCTGGCAACCTCACAGCACATCCTACCTCCTCCCTTTCCCTTCTGGACCCTTTCCCTATCATCGGCGGGCACTTTGTCCCGCGGCCCAGGTGGCTGCAGCTTAGGTTTCCCCCCGGAAGGAAAGGCTGAGACGCATGGCTACGTCCCGCGGCTCCCCAGACGAGGACACACCTGCCGCGGAGGTTACAGTCGGTAAAGTAAAGCGGCGACACGAACTTCTCCACCCGCTCCAGCGTGGTGCGCCAGTGCTTCAAAGCCGGCGCCCCCGCCATCGCTACGCCCTGGCTCCTCTCCCCGGAAGGCTCCCCAGCACTGCCGGCGTGGTCCACTGACTGAAACCAAAGGTTCCGGCATCGGGAGGACGCCTTCCAGCCCCGGGCAGCTTTTCTTGCAACACCAGCGGCTTCTACAAGTCAGTTGCTGTCAGACCTTTGAGCCAGGAGTTGGAAGCTAGAAGCTGTACTTTTCCAGGTCCGAGCTAGTCGGCTTATAAGGTAAATCCTTAAATAAAGTGGGAAGATTAACGATTAAAGCTCCCGTAGATCCCTGCATAGAGACTTTGGGTCATTCAGCAGGAAGGGCAGGAACCTCGGCTGCTGCAGACCCAGCCTCAGAAGCTAGCTCTGGCTACTTCCTCGAACACGAAAACAGGCATGTTTTCATACTAGAAGACATGGTGTTAAGGAGCAGGAAGGACAGCTTCAGTGATCCCAGTTTCCTCTGTTACACGTTTTACTTCACGTATATATGTCTAACTCTTGCCCATCACGAGAAACTCTGCAAAGATTTTGAGATGGCAGATCAGTCAGAGCACTGAAGATTCCCCACAGAATAATATATTTCACTGTACAGGTTTGTAAAGTCCAGGGAAGCCCTAATTCCAGAAACAGACTTCCAATTTCATTCTTATCCCTAGTATTCCACTAGCAGCTTTATTTTTTCCTTCCCGGGGCTGCCAGAGTCCTTGATTATAAAATTAGGAAGAAAAAGTATGTATACAACATTGGCCCTGATATTTTAATGGAAATATTGACCAGGTTTACATTTCAAATGCAAATCACATTGAAAGGTGACCAAGTACAGAATGCCAAATGTGATTTAAAATAAAGGTAACTTTCTGCTGTATATAATGCAGGTTAGGTTTAGAGCTTGGAGCTTAAATGTCAAACAGCAGGAGGAATGAAACTGCTGCTTGTTAAAACCCAGGTTGCAGGCAAAGCTTTTTTGCTGGTTGCATTGATAGGTTGGGGTTTTCTCCTAAACTGACCAAGAAACCCTATCCTGACTGGAAGGCAGGTGCTCTGGAGCTAACACTGTGTGGTGTTGGGAGGGTGGGAAGAGATATGGCTAGGGCTTCCCCTGATCACATCCCATCAATTTCCCCTGTAATTCAAGGTATATGTCTGTCTTTCTTGAGGGGGCATGAGGGTAAGTAAATTATTGCTTAGAAAACCTCATTATCTTTTTCCTCACTGAGTACATTATTACTCTTCCTCCAAGTCAGGTACTGCCCCAGGTCTGCCCTAGAATTTTCTTCTCCCACGAGACTTTTTGCCATGTTATACTGTGGCTCACACACTTCTGTCTGCCTACAACAAAAAAGGCATGTGTTTTCAAAGTCCAGGAACCAAAAAGATTTTTCTTTTTGGTGGTGGTGTTGGGGGTTTTAAAAAGCAAATGTAAATGACACAAAATAATAACTGTCGGTTATTATCTAAGATTAGGGTAATAGTTACTGGAGAAAAATCCACCAGAGTACTGGGATGGACTCAGTGGTCTCTGTTTATAAAGTCCAGGCTAACCACATATAAAAATCCTAATCATTCATGTTTAAATGTCTGCCAGATTAAATTTATATAATTAAAAATATATCTATATATCCCATTGGCAACTGCTAAAGAGATCTATCAAATCCTTTCCCTCACAACTCCACTTACACCACATACCTTACACACATTTCTTTCAAATACTGGCTTGGTTTTTAGTTGTTCACCCCCATCCCTAATAAGGATAACAAAAAATATATAGACATACAAACCACATAGCTCCACAACTTACCCAAATATAAAATATTTTCAAATAGTTGAACAAGGGGAAAAAATGTACTAAAACAATTAAAATTTTGAAATATTTTGATTTGGGACAAGTACAAATGAATTAATTATTTAAAGGAAAATCCTGTTCATCCCCTAGGTAAGTAAATGAAGCTAAATGCTCTGCTTCACAAGAGTTCTCTGGTGAGGACAAGGGACTTGGGTTGAGAGTTTATTCCTTAAGTAAGAACCAAGCTTTATTTATTTACAAAAAAAAAAAAAGTTGGGGGCAAGGAGGAAGACAAGTTTTACACAAAAGTACTACAATGGTAACTCCCTTTGGTAAAAAGTGTAATAAATGTCTTGTACATCTGTTCATAGGTACTAAATCTGAAGCCACATATTACTATGATACACAATAAGCTAGAGCAGTTATGCTAGCACATCAAAGCATATTTCTTTTAATAAAAAATTGACATTATGTACATTATTTACAAAAAAAGAAAAAGCAAGTTAAAATTGTGTGTGTGCATGTGTGTGTCAGAGTAAAGCTGGTGGATGGCACTAGGGTAGACTAGTAAAGAAGCAGATACAAAACAGTTCCACGGGAGCTAAAAAGGACGACTCATTTGAACTTGAGGTTGAGAACCAACGGAGAGAGAAAGGGGTGGGGTAGCAAGGGATTCGTCAGGGATCAAATCCACAAGATGATCAATTCCAAAGCCAAACTGCAGATCCCAGTTAAAACCTAATGTGTGATTTTAGATGTGCTCAAGTGAGGGGGAGAATAGGGTATAAGTATTAAATCTGTTTTTTTTTTTTTCCTCCTTTTGGGGGTAGAGAAGAGGAGCAGTGACCATCACAGTTACAATCCATCTGAGCATTAAGTCCTTCCCCAGTCTGTTTTGTAAATGCACCTTCATCCAAAGTGTGAACAGCATCCAGTTCCCTTATTGAAGGTCAGGCCACAGAAGACTCCAGTCTTAGCTCTGCTGGTGTGTGCAAGCAAGCTGCTTGTCTCTGTGCTTGCATGGATTTCCTTCCCCTCCAGGGCAGACTAGTTCCCAAACCCACTTGGGGAAAGTTCCAGCTCCACCTTTGTAAGTATTCACGTTCCTTAAAGGTAGCCCACTTGGTGCCAATTTGCACCAGCCACCCACAGATCAGGTGGCCATGTCCCAGAGAGGCCCAGTGAGGCTTGAAAGGCATCTTCCTTGTTTCTTCAGTGTGTGTGAGTGCACATGCTCACACAGAGACACACACGCACACACACACCCTTAAGTTACTTGCTCTGGCTTGCAGTTAAGGGGCTTTGAATACTGTGCCATATTTGACACGATACTTGTTAATGCTCACAAAATGCAGGGTCTCTGTATCACAGGTGGTGGTACAGGGCACCAGGCCCTCCAGCCCCTCACCCATGAGCCACTTGCTGGTCTCTGCTGCCATTTCACGGGGCACATGCTCCTTGGTCCATTTATCTACCCAGGCCTGGAACCTCTGATGTAGACGCTTGCTTACACGTTCATGAGACTGCAAAACAGAGAGAGAAAAAATATGAAGTAGGACCAAAAAAAGCCTTTCAAATTAAAAGACCAACTTTCTCTTTAAAGTAGCAGAGGAAAGATGTGGACTCAAAGTCTTAGACATTACTGGTTAGTTTCAGAAAAACAAAAGGGAGGAAAAATGTGTTTAAAGAGGGGAACTGAAAAAGGCAAGAACATAGAGGATGTAAGGTGATGGAAACCATAAAGCCCCCAAAGAAATGTCAACACAGGCTCTGAGCAGAACAAGCTCACTGTTCAATTTTAGCATGCATCAGTATGACTGGGGAACATGTAAAAATACAGATTTCCTTGGTTCCACCAATCTGCATTTTAAGCCAGCAACCCAGCTGATTTCTAATTTATCCTGGGTGAGATACAGTAAGCCACAGGTATTAAGTCATTTCTGTTGGCATGGCGATCCACTTCTAAGACAGTGAAAAACAAAAGGCTTAACACCCACTCTCCCTTGACTGTATTACTCCGCCCTGGCTAGAAGAATCCAAGGCGCAGCAGATCTTCAGTGGAGTATTATGTTCCCACCTCTGCACTCAGTAAATACTTCCTGGTGGCCACGTGCAAGCATAGTATGGGATACAAAGATAAAATTGGTGTTGCCCAGCTCCCTGTATGAATCGGCGATATATAGGCACACAACACATAGCAGTTACACTCAGTGCCAAAAAAGAAAGTATGGTTGATCCTTAAACAAGGTGGGTTTGAACTATGTGGGGCCATTTATATGCAAATTTTCTTCTGGACTGCAGCCTCTTCCTCATTCCTCTTCCCTTCTCCATATGAAGACTTTAGGATCATCCACTTCCACCTAATGAACAGTAAATATATTTTCTCTTTCTTAAGATTTTCTTAACATTTCCATTCTCCAATTTAACCTTACTGTAAAAATATAGTATATTCTTATATATAGTTATAAATATATACATAAACCTATAACATATATTAATAAACTGTTTATACTATGGGTAAGGCTGTTGGTCAACAGTGGGCTATTAAGCTTTTGAGATGTCAAAAGTTACGCTCAGATTTGACTGTGTGAGAAAGGAGGGTCAGCATCCCAACCTCTGTGTTGTTCAAGGGTCAACTGCATATTAAACTGCTTGCCCAACATCTCCCTATTGAATATTTCACAGTTTTTATTTTATTTTATTTTATTTTATTTTTCTGAGACAGAGCCTCAAGCTGTCCCCCTGGGTCACCACAGCTCACAGCAACCTCCAACTCTTGGGCTCAAGCGAGTCTCCTGCCTCCGCCTCCCAAGTAGCTGGGCCCACAGGTGCCCGCTACAACGCCCGGC